AATGAAGTGGTCGAATATATGTGCTATGGGTGCTGTAAGGAAAGAAAACATACTGGAGTACAAATATTTGAAGAGATTATGGAAAAAAATTTTCTCAAATTAATGAAAAGTGTCAACTGATAGAGTCAGAGCTAGCAAGCCCCAAGTAGCATCAATACAAAGAAAGCCATAACTAGGGATATCATAATCAAATTCCTGAAAACCAAAAATAAACGTCCTAAAAGCAGCCAAATGAAACAGATGTACAATGCCTTCAGAAGTACAACAATGACAGCCAACTTCTCAGCAGAAAAATGTGATAGATAATAGAAAGACATTTTTAATATGTCAAAAGAATAAAACTTAGCATTCTATACATAGGGAAAATCTCCTTCAGAAATTAAATCAAATAGACAGGAAACCCACAGGAATATGAGATACAGTTTGGCTGGGTCCCCACCCAAATTTCATCTTAAATTATAGTTCCCATAATTCTCACATGGTGTGGAAAGGACAGGTGGGAGGTAACTGAATCATGGGAGCAGTTACCTCCCTACCCTTCTCATGACAGCAAGTGAGGTCTCATGAGATCTGATGCTTTTATAAGGAGTTTTTCCCCTACTTCGCTCTGCACTTCTCCTTGCTGCTGCCATGTGAAGAAGAATGCATTTGCTTCCTCCTCCAGCAGGATAATAAGTTTCCTGAGGCCTCCCCAGCCACGCTGAACTGTGAGTCAATTAAACCTCTTTCCTTTACAAATTACCCAGTCTCAGATATGTCTTTATTAGTGTGTGAAAATGGACTAATATAGTAGCACCAGGTAGCACAAAAATCAATAGATAAAGAACAGACTGCTTGGTAAAAGGACTGGAAAAACTGGCCTATGACATGGAGAAAATTAAAACTAGAACCATACTTTACTGTATGAATAGGTAGACTCCAGACGGATGAGAGACCTAGATATGAATGGTAAAAATATACAGTTAATGAAAATCAATGTAGCAAAATACATTTGGGACCTCATAAACACGACTATCGGGTAAAACATTTATGAGATGTATTATCTAAGGAAGGGAAGGTTTAGGTGGATCAGATGGCTGCTGCCATAAAACAATGTACAGGACAAGGAATTCCAGGACTGTGAGGTGGTATGATTGCTGCTAGCAGAGATGGATATATAAAGAAAGATAATTTAGGCTTGAATCTGAAATCCTCAGCTCAAAAATTTTAGACTGAATTCTCAATCTAAAAACCAGAAAAAGCCCCATGTTTTTGTTAACAAAATCTTTTCTCTCTTTCTAGCTATAAGGCTGTAACAATTGAAAACCAAGGTCATACTTAATCTTGCTGGTTGCCAAATTATTTTAGTACCATGAGTTAAATTGCCATCCTCACTAGGCCTCTTGGGTAAAACCAAGACCAAGGAACAGTAGGACCTTGATTTGGAATGGGGAAGGGGATTTGGAGAACTCATAATATTCTACACTAGGGAGAACAATAGTCCAGGTTTCAGAACTGAAAGTCCTGTGTCCCAGGAACCTCCTCAGACCCAGGAAACTTGGGATAGTTGCCATGTTCTCCTTCACTAATCCAAGCAGTTGTTCTTCCTTTCTAAAGAGGTTCTTACTGCCTTGCTAGAATATCCTGTAATGACCTCACTTGAGGTAATAATTACCTTGTAAAGGGAAACCAATTTGCCTTATGCTCCTCCTCCATTATTACTGTTATTTCTATACACCCCAAATCAGATTTCAGCATGGAGAGAGGTTGTGGTGGCTGGAATTTAAAAGGCAAATCCAGGAGGAGACTTATGCCAAAAAAATTCTAGATTTGGCTCAAATATACTGGCACAAAACCAAAGAAAAATGTGTGGTATTCTCAGAGCATTTCTCTGACAAGGAAAACCGTAATTTTGGATTGTGCAGAAATGATTAATCGGGTACACCTGTCACAGATCCTGGATTATGCTTGCTGCCTTGAGCAGCTGGGGGTGATTCTACTCGTTCAGTTAGTTGAGTGAAACATAATAATGGCCCACATTAAATGAAATTGAGAATCTAAACATTCCTTGAGTAAAATAAAGGCATTCAAAGATTTACAAAGATGGGAATACCGGAGTGGAGTTTTCGTGTGCAATCTGAATATCCTAATCTATTGATCCCCTAAGTCTCCTTGGAGGACCTGTCAGTCACTTTCCTTTCACTAAGGCCTTGAGAAAAATACCACTGGTGAGGGGGGTACGAGCATCCATGAAAAGCATTTTAATGATGCTTCTCTTTAAGCTAGGAAGGCTTGTGGAAAATGCTGTGGTTAAAAGGGGTTCCCGATTTCAATGGAGACATCAGACTCTTGGGGGTTGGTACAGGCTTTAGCATTTAGGAGCAATTAACAACTGGAGACAAGGTGAAAACAGTGATGATAATGGGAGCAGGTCCAGTGTAATCAAGAGTTCGGCCCACAGAAATCTTGGTTGTGGATAACATGTGGCCTCCTGGCCGGAAATGCTGTTCAAAAATTAAAGAGGCAGCATAGGTACTGACCGAGAAAAACTGATACCATTGTATAAAACTGATAGAGCCATGCCAGTACATACCAGCTGAATGCCAGCCTGGCCTAGGACCAAATACACTAGCAGTCCACATAGGTCCTACTTGATATATATAACAATAGCAGAAAAGCCTGACTGGAGCCACCAAAATACAGTGTCACCAAATTGTCACAGATATGAGTGAAAGACCCCTAAAGATGAAGAACTCTGTAATAATATCATAAATGTGTTTCCAAAATCTTCCTTTGAGGTTTCCATTTGCTAAGGTAACAATGCACTGCAGAAAGGAAACTATTAGACCTTTTGGAGGTCATCTGGGAACAGCTGTGAACAAATACAAATTTCTGGGGTCTCTGAAAGCATTGTGGTCTATGGAACAAAGTATATGCTACAGGAATAAACCCATCCTCCAGTTATTTTTCCAGTGAAGAGTTAGAATTTATTTCTTCTTCCTCTTTGGCAATATTGGATCCCTGATCCATAGAAAGAGGGTGATTTCATCAGGAAGTATGAAGAGATTTGCAGAGATGAGCCCCACCATCAAAAGCTTTAAAAGCAGCAGGAGTGTGGTTCTTACCATGTCTTGGTTTAGCATGATCTTTGGCACATGTAGGAGGAGAGAGAAGGGTCTCTAAGAATGACTGGACAGGCCAGGTTCAATGGCTCACGCCTGTAATCCCAGCACTTTGGGAGACTGAGATGGGTGGATCATTTGCGGCCAGGATTTGAGACCAGCCTGGCCAACATAGTGAAACCCCATCTCTTCTAAAAATACAAAAATTAGCCAGGCGTAGTGGTATATGCCTGTAATCTTAGCGACTGGGAAGGCTGAGGCACGAGAATCACTTGAATCCTGGAGGGGGAGGTTGCTCTGAGCTGAAATTGGGCCACTGCATTCCACACTCCAACCAGGGCAACAGAGAGAGTGAGCAATCTATTATCTTAAAAAAAAAAAAAAAAAAAAAAAGAATGACTGCACATATTCAGAAACAATTAGATGGTAATTCCAACTGCAGCTGCTGTTAGACAAGTTATTTTTCTTGGAGCAAATCAGACAGAAAGTAGCTGGCTGTTGATTTGGTCAATGCTTTGTTTTTCCTTTATTCCAGTAAGTAAAGAGCACTTGAAGCATTGACTATCTCAGTAAGCAGCAACGTAGATTGTCTTTTTCCAATGTTACATTAACTTCCTATGTCAGAATATCAGTCTCGATATCAGACCTTTGATCAGCTTACCACTGTACAGGGCAGCATGCTGTACATCTCCAGGCGATATTCTGATAAAACCTGGAGAATGGAGTCACGTTTTTCTGGATGCCTGGTGAGATGTGTCATGCCAGAGGGTGAACAATAAAGCCCATGAAAGCACTTGGCCTGCAGCCAAGTTTTATAGAGGTCCAGTGTCTGGTACACACTGGGATTTCCCCTTCATCATGAAGAAAATTGTATACTTTGTTTCTCCTATAACTACAGAGAACTCTCAGTGTTTGGTGGGTGATACCCTTTGGCTGTCACCTTTTTCCCTAATACAGTGCCATCCCATTAATTATCCTATCTCTGTCAAGGCTCTTTAGTTATTCTTTCTGATATGATTTTGATTTGTGTCCCATTCAAATCTCACGTTGAATTGCAATAATCCCCACGTGTCAAGGACGAGACCAGGTGGTGATAATGGAATCATGGGGGTGGTTTCCCCCACAGTGTTCTTGTGGTAGTGAATAAGTCTCACGAGATCTGATGGCTTCATCAAGGGGAGTTCCCCTACAACAGGCTTTTTCGCCTGCCCCTATGTAAGACGTTGCTTTGCACTGCCTTCATCTTCTGCCGTGATTGTGAGGCCTCCCCAGCCATGTGGAACTGTGAGTCTATTAAACCTCTTTCCTTTATAAATTACCCAGTTTTAGATATGTCTTTATTAGCAGCATGAGAATGAACTAATACAGTAGGCCTATTTAAATTCCGTGTGCCTTGCTCAAATTCATTTATGGGTTAATCCAAATGTGTTTAGTTCTGACTGGGCTCAGAAACAGAGGTCTCTCTAGCTAGTCCAGGGTGTGGTGAAATTAGTTCCACCATGTGGACCTTATAAGGGAAACCCAATGGGCTCAGAGTTTCTGTGGCAAATCAGGATTAGGTATAAAACCAGGAAGTGTAAGCAACACTACACCCTCTTCAGACAGTAACTATTGAGATTAAAGCAAGTGAAAAAAACCTGTTCAAAAGGGTTCCATAAAGACTGCAGCAGAAAGCATCAGAGCCTTCTCCAGTTCTGAGAGGAGATGGATGGCATGTAAGCAGTCATATACCAACGCTTGAGTTCACAGGCAATGTATGTTTGATTTAATAAGGAACGTTTTAGAGGACCCTGTGTTGTGGTCTGCCAACTCATTTGGGACACTCAATTCATTATGCAAGTATCCTCAGCTCTTAGCCTACCACATAACAGACCAATAAGGAATGAAAAGCAAAGAACATACTTGACAATATGCTTGATTTAATTCAGCAAACTTTAAAAAAAAGACATCGCAACTTTTTTTTATAAATGAGCACATTTTCCAAACAACCATTTAAAAATATAATATATAGTATATCCCAATTCGTAAGTTACAAGCAGTAGAGACCAATGCTGATTTCCAACAACGAAAGGGAAGATGCTGGGTCGTTTAAAGGAGGTGCCGAACAGCTGAGCATTCAGTAGTAGGCCAGAAATTAGGGTGGCACTAGAGGCTTCAGCAGCAAGAGTTCACAGCCATCTCTCCAGGAGGCTGCCAGAGGACAACTTGATTCCTATCACTTTCTCCCAAATCACACAGAGAAGGGGCACTTCCCCAAAATAACCAGTGTGTGTAGGGGAAGGGGGGAGGGGAATGCCAGACATTTTGTATGTGCTCATATCAGGCTGTGCCAACAACCAGCAGGTCTCCTATACATACAAAGTTGAGTTTTGAATTAGACATGTACTTTTTTTCTATAAAACCTACACTTCCCCATAATACTATCTGCATTAGTATTCCTGATAGGAATTAGGCCTATAAAAGTAGGTTCTGAAAAATCTCAGAAATAGCTCCAGAAGCAGTAGAGTTAATAACCTAGAATTTTCGGCCGGGCGCGGTGGCTCAAGCCTGTAATCCCAGCACTGTGGGAGGCCGAGGTGGGTGGATCACGAGGTCAAGAGATCGAGACCATCCTGGTCAACATGGTGAAACCTCGTCTCTACTAAAAATACAAAAAATAGCTGGGCATGGTGGTGCATGCCTGTAATCCCAGCGACTCAGGAGGCTGAGGCAGGAGAATTGCCTGAACCCAGGAGGCGGAGGGTGCGGTGAGCCG